TAATATTTTACAGATACGGATGGGACAAAATAAAGAAACACACGCCGCCGATCTCCAAGCTGCGACCACCCAGGTGCGCCGCGACACCATCACCATCATCTCGTCATCTCCTCCTTCGCCATCCTCCGAGCGACGCGCAGACCAATCGCCGGCGAGCCCCTCCGCCGCGCAGTCTCTGCAAATCTGATGCCGCGAGCCTCTCGCCGGCGAGTATCCTCCGAGTGGACCTGCGAATTTCGATCAGAACCAGTCGCGAGCCCTCTGCGACGAGACCCCAGCAACGCCACAACCCGCTCTCCTCCCACGCCTTGAGTCGCTGCCCAGCGCCGCCTCCATCTCGCGAAGAATTCCGGCGACCCTTGTTCACGCGTGAATTGCGGCTTCCGGCGAACCCTGTCACGACCAGACGTGGCGACCAGCCTCTTCCTCCGGCGATTAGGACCGCCGCGAGCAGACGTCCTCAGCCTCTGCAGCCCGCTTTCCACCGCCGTGACAGTCCTTTTCGGCCAAGTGTATATCTTAAATATATTTTATGTATATATGGGTTCTAAAATCGATTTTGAGAAACGATTGAAACTCGAGTGTTATTTAACGTATATTTTATGTATATATGTGTTCCGGTTGGCTTGAATTACTAGAATCTCGAGTGTATATTTTATGTATATTTTATGTATATGTGTGTTGTATAACTTTGATATGTACTGTATACACACGTAAATATACCCGAAACATATAAATTTTCATACTCGAAACATATAATGAAAAAATACTATGTATACCCGCTACATATAGTATATGTTAGTATATGTTGCAATGAAACACATGTCTTTCATAAAAAAATTATGTCTTCTAATTCACGCGGCTGTCCAGATCGGTATATGTTGCGTTTATGTTAGTATATATTCAGTATATGTTGCAATGAAAAACATGTCTTTCATGAAAATTTTATGTCTTCTTTTTTTTTTTTGTAAGTTTAACTTTTTTTTTTTTGTAAGTTTAACGTTAATTGAAACGTACGTGAATTGATAGTTTTTTCATTAATGATATATGTGTTGTTTTCAACAAAAAAATCTTTTAATATACCAAACATAAACTAATTTATACATAACTAATATACCAAACATAAACTACTTTGTATAGAAAATATACTGAGTATAAACTATATATATACAAAAACATCTTCTAATATAATGAACATATACCCCCTATACACACAACATATACTGAACAATTTACAAAAAAACTCTTCTAATATACTTAACATATACTCCCTATACACATCACATATACTGTCTGTCTATAAACGCAACATCCAACATATACTTTACATATACTGTAACCCCAAAATAAATCAAACAAAAAAAATTCTCAAAAAGCTGTCATGATTTTCTTCTTCTTCACGGCCTCGGGTGTTTTGACATCGCTCAGACTCTTCGTCTTCTTCTTCGCTAATTTCAATTTCAAACTTGAACTAATTAACATCTTCAAATCAAGAAAATAGATTTAGAAATCAAGGAAAACAACATAACTACATCGAGATTAGAGCCTGGAGTTTATGCAACTCATAGACATTGACCTATATGCATCCGTTATAACCTCCTTCTGCTTCTTCAAATGCCTAGTAATTAGTACACAANAAACCAAACTTGAATCTTAATATTGTCGAACAAAACAACAACAATGGAGGAAAACGAAAACGAAATTACCAGACTTGAAGTTTTCCTAATCCCTCAATAGCTCTCTCATGGGATCCCCTTCGCATCACATTCAATTCAGGAAAAAAGATAAAAGAAAAACAAAAATAAACACTGCAAATCCATGGCGAGGGTGTTGGGATGAAGCCGCTGCCGTCCCTAAGCCTCGATCGATTCCGAGCCATGGTGAAGGAAAGAGAGGAAAAACTTAGGGATTTTAATGGTGGGATCGTTTTGCCCTTGAGCACGGATGAAATTGTGCAAATTTATGAGATTGTTTTATCTGAGCTCACAGTTAATTCGAAGGCTATCATCACTGGGGGAGGAGAACAGCGTCGGATCTGTAGAAGAAGACGAAGATGATGAGGGAGAGAGGGAGAGAGAAGAAGTAGAATAGATAGGGAGAGAGAGAAAGCGTGATAATAATAGATCCCATAAATATGTTTTTATCATAATTACAAATAATTATGTGTTGATCAATAATCTAGTATGTTTGTAAATAAAAATCATAGTTTTAGTTAATTTGCAAATAAATATATATGAGTTGTAAATATATAATAAAAATATTAATGTGTAGTGGAGGATGTAATTTCCTCATTAAAGATGCTAATTAATAAAGGGTTAAGGGATAATAACTAAATATGGACTTGGTCCACTACACAAATGAAGAAGCTAATTAATAAAAAGGCTAATGGTTAAATATGTAATTCGTTTGTCAATTTGAAAACGTTCATTTGTTTTCTTATGATGTTTGGTATGAACAATTTTTATTAGAATAATTAGTTTCAGTGATATTATTTTTTATTTTTTATCTTAATGTCCTCGTGACTGCTTCAATGTAATTTATTAAATATCTCTGTAAACTCCAGAAATAATTTATCATTTCCAAGATATATTTCAGGATTGATGAAAAACAAGAAAAATTATTNACTCATTCATTAATTAGGCCACTTCATTTATTTAAATGGATCAAACCCAACACAAATGCATAGTATTAACCAACAAAAAAAAAAAAGATGTGGTCCCAAATAAATTGAGGCCCTAGGCAAGAGCCTCTCTGCCTCCCCACTAGAGCCGACACTGCTGGCGACAAAAATCTCAAATCTCTTGCCCTAGTCGATCGTCAACACAGTGTGAGCATCTCCTCCGGCGGGCCTAGATCTGCCTAATTCCTGGAGCATCTGGCTCTTCCTGGGCTCGGCGGCGTGGCTATATCGTTCTTCCGTCTTCACCTCCTCGAGTGGTCCCGGTCTTGCAGCGATTGCCATGGCGGGCGAGGAAAGGCGGGCGATGTTAGCGGCTGTTGTCCAGCGGACATCGCGGGCGTCCTTGCGGCGGTCGATGGCAGTGGTCTAGCCATGGTTCCCCCCTTGCCCGACTTTCCTTGGTGTTTGGAAGTTGGGGCCCTCCGGCAGCGATTGTGCATGGTGCGGTGGCTCCGGCGTACGCGTGGGCGGGCCTGTGGAGTGGTCCGGCCCGGGTCGGGTCTGTGGTGTACTGAGAGGAGTTGACGAGTTTTGTAGTCCGGATCTAGTTAACCCATTAGGGGAGTTTCTGGGTCTGTTGTGTTTGGGCCTTGGATCTCGTGACTTTTCTTGGTATTTTGCGATGGGTGTTTGCCCAGGGTGTGGTGGTTCTCGGATTTTCCGTCCGGTGGGGAGGGCTGTCATTTTTCCCTTGTTTTAGAATTATTTTGTTTGTGTTGTTAGTGTTTTGTTTGTGTTTGTTTGTGTTGTTACTGTGCGTTAGTGTTTTTTTCTCCCTTTCGAAGTGTGAATTCTCCCGTGGAGAATATGTATTCCTCATTAGTGGGGTTTTTAGTTTTTGTGTGGTTTTGTTGTGTGTTGTATTCTAGGCTACCTATAGTGGTAGACCTCCCTTATTCGGCTAGTGAGCCGGTTGTAATTATGTGTTCTGTTTTTTCTATGAAGAGTATCGTTT